TTATAATATATTTTTGTAAAATAATTATTAATTGGTTTGCATATTTATATTGCAATTGTTTAACGATATCAAACCGATCAAAGATTACATTCGAGAAATTTGTATTGTAAATTACATTTTATTACAAATTGCAATATCCATTAAAAGGACATGCGCAATAAGCCAAGAGAGAAACAGTAAAAAAAAAATTAAATATTAACGCCAAGTGTTATAATATATCAATTGTTATTGTCCCTCTTGCGTATAAAATATATATGTATTTCCATTAATAATTTAACGATTAAACTTATTGCTATAATTTTTCGATAAAACGGTAGGAAAACGTATAAATGCATGTGTGAAGGGATGTTGGTCTGCGTGTGTGTGTTAAAAAAATTAAAAAACATATGTTCGCGCACCGTAATTTCGCATACGATAAGCGCCGCGGGATTCCTATCTTTTTTATCCGACGTAATAACAAACCGCAGTTGATACGCGTGATTCGTCGCCGCAATTAGCTCTCCCTCTCTCTCGATCACGCGGCGACGTGAAAGAAAATCGACGTGAAAGAAGAGCAGACCGAATAAATAAATGTTGGCGCGGTGTATTACGCCAACGATGTTCTCTTTCTTTCTCTTTCTCTCTCCTTGGAAGAGAAGCAGCAGGCGAGCTGTGCTCTATTGCGACAGTAAAGACCTTTGTATTATGCTCTTAACCCTGTACTTCGAGAATGCAACGATCGCGCGATCGGCGCGAGAAAGGATGTATATGTGTGTATTTATGCATTAAATATAAAATATAAATACGAGAGTGTGGAAAGGGAGTCTGTAATAAAACTGAAATGCCCGCGGCAATGCGAGGCTTCGCGACTTCGTTTCAGTAATCGATCGAAATGTGGAGAAGTTACATACGGATTGATAAATGCGATTGCAAGCTCCTCTCGGTTTATTAATGCCGATGCGTCTACGATGCGACTACAGTGTCATCGCGCGTCCTTTAAATCATTCGCTGAATCCGCGATGCAACGCGTCGCGTGGGCGTGCACTGACGTTTATATTATGCCTCGCAAGATGATATCACCGGCCATTGTTGTAATCGCTTTTCTTCATATTTAATAAGGCGAAATAATAAGAGACGCTGTAACAATGACAGTCGGATTGCTTGATCTTCGATCCGCTTTTCAGATCCCGACTTTAATCCTTTCAGAAGCCAGTCTACATTTATCGATAAGAGAACAATCTCTCTTTCACAAGTCACATCTGTCTCGACACGATACGTGGGAAAAATTTGCGATATTCTTCGAGAAATACTTAGAGAGGAATAGATACCCTCTTGAACGAAATTTGTTCGTCGAATCGTCGATGTGGCTCCTTTTAGATGATGATCTCGCGCGACAGCTAGTTAGCTATCGGCATCTCAAACGTATTTTACAATCGATCATCGATTTACCGCGGATAAGAGATTAATCAAGCGGGATGAATTAAGCAGGTGACAGCTGTAAGTGATTTATAACAAAGGCGTTTTATCAACAGTCCGCGGGCTCTCCTTGGAGGATTGAGTCGTAGTGGTTTTACAAACGACATAAAGGTCGCGCCGGGCAAGGAGGAAGAGTAATCTTGGCTAATCGACTACGCGAGAGATACGGCAAAACGGATTCCTCCATAAACCTCGCGTATATATCTATGGATATTTACATATATTCACATTTTTATCGATATTCGATCAAAGTTAATCGACAAACGATGGTCGCGGTAATTTATCATCAGAGAACTAAGAATCTAAATGTCCCGTGTGTATATCAATGAACTTGTATTATCATACTTGAGTAACGCTGCTTGCCTCTATTTCAAATATACCGTTATTTTTATTAATCATTGAATTGCCATCCACTTTTAATAGGCGATAAATTATCATAAACTGCTGTTTGTAATAATAATGGATGAAAGATGACTATAAACAATAAAGCAAAGGCTGTACAAAAGACTTTTAATAATTCATATTTCGATTCGTCGATTGATTCTCTTTCATCATGAGATTACTTGCAAAATTCTACTTATGCGATTTTTCAAACTAACGGTATTTCTATTACTTAATTGCTAATACTGACGCGGAACACGTGGGCGGAAACGATGCTCTGATGCAATGCTTTACACCTACTAAATAAGTATCCGCACGCGGATTCGTCACGATATGAGAGAAGCTCGTAATTTCGCCTCTAACTGCGATATAACGAATGAATAATATAGGCGTAAGAAAAGGTACAAGCTTTGAATTTGATCATACGAAGGAAATTATTAGTTACTTTGAATTTTATTCTTTTATCTCACACGTACCTGCAGATAATACATCTTGCGGCCACACTAAGTGATGCAGGTCAACGTGCTGGTATCTCGCTAACTCGCGTACCCGTTAGCGGTGAAACAACAACCCTTCTAGGGGAGAATCAATGCGCACTGTGAAAAAGTTTTTGAAGTTAGCACTCTATTGAGGAGAGGGATTTTTGCTACGCAAGGAGATGTATAAATCACGAGAGACGTTTTACGATCGTGAGTGAAAATAAATGCGCGATGGAAAAGGGCATATGCCGCGAGAACGGTGATTATTTTCACATTTACAATATATTATCCTGTCTTTTAAAGAATATACGTTTATATATATATATATCCCGGTGAGCTCTAAGCTGTTCACAAATATTATTTATATCGACATTGTTTTTAAAAGTATTAATTAGTATCCAATTTTTCTTTGCGACAACGACAACGCGCACATAAATATCATCCGACGAAATTTGATGACGTTCAAATGGTATCGGTGCTTTTCGAAAGCACACCAAACAGATAACTATGCGAATAATTAAAAGAATGTACACTGATCGAAAAATAAAAAAAAAATTCTTGATAATAGAAGAAGGATGCAATGTCGATCTCGTGACGATGCACCACCGAAAATGCCAAAATGAAATATCACCGGGGGCAGTTTCTCGCGGGATATTCACAGACGAAACGAGAGCGGCAGGATTATGGTAGCACACATGCGTACGTGTATACGAACATGTATGCGATTGTCGTCGTTATTGTTGTTGTTGTTACACTGTCCGTCGCACGGCTGTGAATAAAGTCGGTATGTAACTGCCCGGCATGACGGCACGTTGGGTTTATATAGCATGGATCTCTAATAAGATGATTCTTGAACGGTGTTGGGACCCCGGTGTAGGGGGCGAGTAGAGGGGCCCCGTCACACGGAGGGGACGACTCCCTTGCTGTGTCTTACCTTGCCTTGCCTTACCTTGCCTCATCATTGCGCCTTACCTTGCCTTACAGCCTACCGCGGGAGGGTAAAGCGCGCGCCTGCGAGAGATCCTCGTCTCTCGTGTTAGGTCGCGGACGACGCGATACGAGGGTGTGTATCTCTGAAAGAAAAAAAGAAAAGTTTTTCTCACACACACGACAAAATGTTATTTGACAATATATTGAAATATCATTCTAATACGATTAAATAATCGATTAATTAGAATACAGATTTTTACACGTCGCAGTTTTTTATTCGTAATGATTATTTCTTAACTAACGCACTACCTTGAATCATATTTCTTATTAAAATATAAACAGACATGTGATAGAGTCAGATAAAAAATCATGTTTCACTACTCGACACAATAATAATTATTTATATTATATTTAATATTAAATTAAATTTTTTTTATTTTTATTATATTTAATAAATATCTTTTTGATTGATATCGCGAAATCGATATAATATCGGTGAATTAAAATTTTGATATGCTGAATGTAGAAAAATATATCCCATCGCATCAATCTTACGATCGTTCTATTCTTGTTGTCGCAAACGTGTGGAGATTATTACGTATAAAAATCATTTTTCTTTATCGTCGAAATATGAGATTGTCATTGATAATATACTGATTAGGAATCCCGGATTTCGCGATCGGAATTTTCTAACGAACGGCTTAGGATTCGTTTGATGCCTGTCGGTTATTTAGCATTTGAAGTTGCTAAACCAAGATCGAGAGATTCAACGTCGTAGTTGATCTGCACTAGTGAATGGCGATCTTCGTCCAGTTATCTGTGAACGAGGATGAAAGAGACGGCACTCAATGCAACACTCGATGCTGCACAACGGCGTTTGATCTACGGTTTTCTAATACGATCGTCCGCGTAATCGATGGTGTAATGTGAGGCTTCGAATTCGCCGAGTCCATCTTTCATGCCTCTCCCATGACGTTTAACCCCTGTATAATTCTTCCATAAACCAGGAGAGAAAGATTCTCGCACGATATTCAATCGCCGTAAAATTGCTTCCTCGTACTTTGATAAATTTCGATATCGTTCTCGTCTATTCGTTGGAGCACGATAATTTGATTACGTAAACGTGACGAAGAAAAGTTAATTAACTTATTAACGCTAATTGCAGTTAGTTGAAGATTATAACGAATTTTGCACAATTACAATAACTGATTGTATCTTCCTTGTTTAATAACATTGTCGTGATATTTTCTACATTTACATTCATGTATGATATTAAATACCTGTAATTTTAAAACGCGCGATAGAGATTCACACGTATATGTCTATATATATACACAATTGATGTAACTCTGAAATAACACTATGGAATGTCGATCTCTGGCGAGAAAGTGAGTCTATTAGCTTCAGGATGATATCGAACGTATCATAAGGAAGACGTTCTCTCTTCCTTGATTTCCTTTAATTGATTATGGCCAGTAATAACTCGTCGATGAAAAATGGAAAATGCGCGTATGAATCATGAGAAATATTGTGCGATTCGATCTGCAGCTGCTTCGCGCGCGGATAAATCATGACCCGAGTACGCTTATTATTTATTTCTTCATTTCCGTTTCTTGTCAATCTTACATGGCGCGGAATATTTTTATTCCTTAATTCACGTGAGATTATCTTTATAATTTTTTATCGTTTCTGCATTCCTTGCGCGAAATTTCCTTACACACATATTCAGATTCTATTAATTATTTGCTATTGAATTAATTACTGAATAAAGTAATATTTATGTAGCAAACATATACATGTAATATATTTATTTGAAGAAATTCATCCTCTCTCATTTTTAAATCTATATTTTAATTGCCAAAGAAAAAATAAAAAGAACTTTAAAAATATTCTTGGAAACCTCACAAATCTTCTATTTAATAATCAATTACTAGATTCGATAAACGTTACGGCATATAAAATGTCGATGTTAGTTGTTAGTATTATATGCAATAAGACGTTTTTGGGACATTTTTAATAAGCCATTGGGTAATTTATTGTTTCGCAATTCCTTTTCCGTCTCTATAACGGAAATGCTCCAATCATTAAAATCGAAACGGAAAATCAATAAAATACCTTTTCCATTTGAATTACACATGTCTCAAGAAATCAACTATTTTTTTAATTTTGTGGATGTGGGTGGAAATAATCATTGCTTTATGTTTCCTGAAAACTTATCTTTTCGCACCACGTGAAATTGATTTGAATTACATTTTTTCGCACGCGAGATGGAAAATGTTATCCAATATCAATTTTTTTGCTTGTGTTATGCTATTCTTCCAATGGATTACGCACCAATAATACATATTTTCACATAAAATTTATTGCGCGATAAAGAAAACATGTACATTGAGAATACGCATCATGCCATAGAAAACGTTCTAACTTGTGCAATATAATTATCCTGCATTTTGCATCGCGCCTTTTTCCTCGCGCTGAGAATCGACTTTAAAGTGACTCGTATCGACTGACATGGGCGTTGTAGCATCGTGAAATATTAGACATTAAGAGTGCTTCGTAGATGCAAATCCGTTCTCTGCGTGGGATTTTTCTTGATGAGGTGGTAGGGGGAAACAGAAGTGATTGCTTATATAAAGATGATATAATTATATAATGATAAAATGTCTGTGGGAAAATTCTCTAGAAGTCTTTTTTATATATTATTTTATATTCGAAAATATTTCAATATAATTGTATCATTCTCTCTGGTATCTAAAAAAAAATCTAGTATATGATAATTTTTGGGAGGGGAGTTGGAAGATGGAAGATTAAATATGAATTTAAATATGTAATAAAAATATATATTATATTATAAAAAATTTTATTTAAAAAGTTAAAGAAGAAATTTAATAATAATTAATAAAAATACATTTTAAAATTAATCGATATATCTTTTTCATCGATATATCTTTCTCATCACAAGGATTACTAAGAGAATGTCAACTTATTATCTTATGTATTACATGACTTCCCTCGATGATGATTTATTCGCTTAAAAATTTTTATAAACACATACACTTCTCTTCCATATTTATATTTGTAGAAAATTAAGATTTCTACTTGCAATCTCGTTTGACACCTATCTAACATTATAAATTAATACCATACGTTCAAGCATGTTATTATCTCTTATTAACAAGTAAATGTATGCTATCTCAATTTGATAATAATGAGGTGTGCTCCTTCGCGAGATCGATATCGCACTTCCCTCTTCCTCCAGCGAAGTGGAAAATGCAAATGCGTGAAGATAAGAGAAAATAATAATTCTCTTTAAGGCTTAAGAACTTCTTTGAGAAAACGACCGTGACGCGAATTGCAGAAAATCGTATGCAGAATTTTTTATCCACGCAATCGTCGCTAGACGCAGGTGGAGGACGCAAGTGAGCTTCATCAAGATCTATTTTTATATGGGATTTGCATCTTCGAGTTCGCAAAGCGAGCGGTCGGAGAAAGGCACACGTGCACGGATTGTTCGACGAACGATCCTCATTGTGCCCAGCCTCGCTCATTCCTAGATCGCTCAACACGCATCCAGCAAGAGCAGGTCAGGGCAGGATTACTCTGATCCTTCCCCTTTGTGGTCGAGCGCGGCGCGATTAATTAAAACGAGCATCCGTGCACCTGCTGTCGATCGGGCAGGAGAGAGAAATCGCGGTTTAGGTGTCCACGATAAAGAGAGTATATAGCCTAAACGGCGGTTACGCGCGCATAACATATTACGCGCGTTCTTTAATAGCGAATTTTTATTGCTCATTAAATAGTGACAAGAGGGAGACGCATCGAGAATTCCTCGATTTGCATTATATGTAATATTGCGCAATAAATTCCTGCGGGTTACTCAATCATTCGTATTGTGTATCTAATTGTTGGAATAACTGAGTAAAATATATCGTTTATGTTACTGTCCAGAATAAGATATATTTGTGATGCAGAAAATATCCCATCGAATCACCTGATACTTGATACTCTAAATCCTTGTTTAATAATAACATGGATCCGATAAACAAAAAAAAACGACAACGTGCAGTTCTAGAAACGCTTAAATTCGCAATTGAGATACATCGTTGCGCTCGGAGGAAAGAGATGCTGCTCGAGTAGGATCGATCGTATCCTCATTGCGAAATGCGCATCGCATCGCTGGAATGCAGTTGCACGAATTATCCGATAATTATGCGAGTCGCCCACTTATCTCTACCCGCGAAGATTTACGTGTGACTCGCGAGGATCGAGGAACGTTCGCGACGCGGTCATCCGTTAATCGTTTCATCTCTTCCTCATCGTGTCCTCCGCCATTCCTTTTTCTTCAAGAGGCTGCTTTCGGTGTCTTCTCCGGGTGAAGAAGAATAATCCGTGGAACAAAGCGCGGCGCGTCCCCGAAAAAGGTCAATGAAACGACGAAAGAAGTTGCAGGCCTTGCGCGAACAGTTTTGGTCGCCGGACAATAAAACGAGAGTTCCGTGATACATCGAGGACGTCTCTTGCTCAAAGACAAATAGCCTTCTCTTAGCGCTGAGACGCGCTTTAAAGATCAAGGTTCGTCGAATTAGATCCCCCGGCCGAAGTGCGTGACATTAACGCCTAGCTTCTGGATCGAACGGTGCCCTCCTTGAATAGAGGGATGGCATTCCTTCCTTCACGATATACTCGTCACATCTAGTACTTGCGTCCTTCCCTCTCTCTTTCGCATTGTATTGTTCGAAGACATTCATGTGCCATTTCGTTCTCCCCGGTCTTAAGGTCCGAGCTCCAAGATCGCGCTTGCCGGTCGTGAGTTACACGAGCCGCAACTTCGTAGCAATTTTCATACATACACGTAT